TTTGGACTAATAAATGAGTATTTCCAAAGATACTGTGAGGAAGCAAAATGTCACTTGAAAAACTTCAAATTAGCCTTCTGCTGACTCTGCTGGGTGATTCAGAGAATACAATAAAGAAATAAAACATTTCAGTTCCTAGAAGACACATACGTTACAGTTCTGTGTGAACAACTCACAACTATGTGACCCTCAACAAAGCAACTTTATATTTTGTCATATTTCAAATGAGGAGGCTGGCTTAACGAGGTCTGAGGTCCCTTTAAGCAATAAAGTCGTGATATATAGGCCAAGATGAACTCTAACAAATGGGACACCTTATTTGGTAACTTAGAGCGAATACTTTACCTATAGTAACTTTTACCTATTATAATCTTGTTGGAGTTCAGAATTAGAACAAGGGCCTTTTGGAAGAGAGAGTGACCACCCAACAGGTATCACCTTGCCTCCTGCCATCTCACTGCCACTCCCCCGCAATGACTAAGAGTCCGCCTGGGTGAAGGAAGGGAAGCCATGCTAAAGCATTCAGAGACAAGACCATCTCATTTAATTTCATGAAGCTGTCCCTATCTTGACAAAAATAGCTACACACAAAAACAGAAGATCTTATTTAGTATATAGAAGTAAAATTCCAAAAATATTATTCATGACTTAGTTGAAAGGGGAAAAAATAAATTCAACAGCTAGCCACAGCATTTGATATCACATGTGATTAAAAAGGAAAAAAAAAACAGTAAAAATAGGACTAGGGAGATTGTTTTCTTAAACATGATAAAGAGTAGCTCAAATCATCAGCCCAAATTATACTTAATGTAAAACACCAAAGATATTCCCATGAAGTCATGCATAAAACAAACATACTTTGTTTCTGCCTTTTATTTAGCATTATTTTAGAAGCTTCTGCAATTTAAATTTAGAAGTCTCTGAAATAAGAGACTCTAATATTGGAAAAGAAATGAAATTATTTGGAGGCAATATAAGTATATGAAACATCAGAGAACTGACGTAAGTTAGATTTACTAAATGCTCTAAATAGCTAAATTTAAAATATAGTTAAATTAAGAGCTCTCATGTCATTAACAAATGAAAATGCAATGAAGAAATAACATTTGTAATAAAAGCACTAAATGTAAAAAGTGAACATAAAATAACTTTTTCTCATTTTAGGTTGGAGAAGGACTTTCTAATTAGAAATGAAATACTCTTTGGTTTGACTACCACAAGAAAAAAAAACCACCACGAGTCTGTTATTTTGTTATGGCAGCCTGAGCAGGCTGAGACAGAAGGTGTGAGAACGTTCTAAGTGACTATGCTCATAAATCTGACAACTTAGTTGAAATGGACAATTTCCTTGAAAGACAAATGCCAAAATTTTTTCAAGAAGAATATAGTTCTATGTCTATTTGAAAAAAGTGAATTCAGATAAAAATCTTCCAATAAATAAGTTCAAATGGCATCACTGGTGAATTATACACAACATTTTAGGAAGAAATTTTATGAACTCTGCTCACATTCTCTCCATGGTATTGGAGAGGAGGGGAAACTCATTTTATGAGGTCAATATTACACTTATCAGACAAGGACATTAAAAGCAAAGTACAGATTAATATCCATCGTGAACACTGAGGCAAAAATATTCAACAAAATACTAGCAAAATAATCCAGCAATATCCTGGGAATGCAAGGCTGTTACCACTATTGAAAACCAATGTAATTCACCATATTAACATTATAAGGATATCATGAATGATCATTTCAATCAATGATGGGAAAAATCTAAAGAAATCCAACATCCGTTCATGATTAAGAACACTCAGAAAACTAGGAGTAAAAGGGGACGTCCTCAGCCCTCCACAAAATATGGATGCATAAATGCCACCCACAAATATCCTGCAACTAACATACTTAATGGTAAAAGACTGAATGCTTGCCTCCTAATACTGGAGATAAGGCCAAGCTGTCTCTGACCTCCCCACTCCCTTCACCATCGTACTGGAAGGTCTATCAGCGCAGGACAAAAAGAAAAGGCACCGGAAAGGAAAACTCGCGAGACTGTAAAGAAATAAAACATTTACATGACTAAGTATAGAAAACTTAAAAAAAATTTATGTAAGTGAATTTAGCCACAATACAAGGTAAATAAAAAAAAAATCAGTTTCTAGATGTTAGCAATGAACTGGATATTGAAAATTTTTATAGTACCAGTTACAACAGCACACACACAAAAAATTTACTCACAATACACGTGCAAGATCTGTATGCTGAAAACTAAAAATACTGATCAAAGAAATCAAAGATCTACATAAATGGAGCAATATGCTACATTCGTGGATTGGGAGACATTAGATTTCCACTCTCATAGCTACGCTTACCATGGTGGTGAGCATTTCGTAATGTATATAATTGTCGAATTACTATGTTGTACATCTGAAAGTAACACGCTGTGTATCAACTATATACCACAATAAAAAGAGAAGGTAAAAAAAAGTTCACTCTCCCTGAAGTGGTCTATGCACTCAGTGCAGTTTTCATCAGAATCCAAGACGGTATTTTTGTTTTGGCTGTCAAGAGGCTGATCCTAAAATGTACACGGAACACTTACAGTAATCCAGGCAGTGTAGTCTGGCTAAAAGCTCACTAACGTACATATACAAGTGTACATCTACATTAACAGGATAGTTCAGAAAGACCAACACTGTGTCAACTGATTATCTTCCACAAAGGTACAAAGAACATGAACCTCAATTTATTTGTATGTTGCATATATAACTTTCAAATGAGCCACATGTTAAAACAAACTGAAATCGATCACAGACCTAAATTTAGTAAAAACTTTATTAGACTTCTAGAACAAAAAATCACTGTCACCTTGTTAGGCACATTTCTTAGATATGATAATCCATTTAAGAAAAAGTTGATAGAGGGACTTAGTGAAAATTAAGAGCTGCTTTCGAAAAGCTCTGTTAAGAGAATGAAAGAAAAGCTCATACTGGGAGGAAGTATCTATAAAACATATGACCAATAAAGATCTTGTGTCCAGATTACAGAAACTAGTATCTCACTAGATAGAAACACAAATTGGGTTACCATTTTGTACTTTTCAAACTCACAAAGATAAAACATGGGATTACTGTATATTAGTGCAAAGATATGGGTAAGCCCATGTATTTGTGATGGAACTTACAATTTTAGAAGGGAATTCTGACAGTATATATCAAATCTTGAATATATCTGTATCCTTTAATACAGTAATGGTATTCCAGGAATGTGTCCTAGGAATCTTACACACCAAGACTGACATGTTCACAACTGCACTACTTCTTGCTAAAATGAAACCAGGTGTCAGTCTTGACAACAGCAACTGGTTACAATGGCACATCCACAAACACGAAGCTATGCAGACAAGGAAACCTTGCTTATGGAATCTGATATGGCAACTGCTCTCAAGATGTAATTTTAAGTGGATAAATAGGACATTATAACTGCATACAGATTCCATCTTCTATTTTTAAAAGAGAATAAAATAAATACAGATGTGAATGGGCGTTTTCTCTGCAGGATGAGATGGCTGGTGGGGTATTTTTTTCTTTGTACTTTCTGAAAAACATGTACTGAGAACACTGAAATTACTTTTTAAAAGGAATTTAGGCATTCCAGCTAAATCAGAATAAATATACAGCATGAAATTCCTGGTCTCCTTGTAGAGGGGAAAGCTACCATAATGGCACCTGGGATCTGATTTTGCGAAGGGCTGGGCAGACTGTGTAATTCATGGTTGCAAGTGCAGCTCAAAGCTCTTCTCCAGTTTTTCATTTCTATTGCTCCCGCAGTAAGGGATGACCACGACAGACATCATAGCTGACATTTGGTCACCACTTTGCTGGGTGCTCAAGCACTCACTCCAGGGTCACGTAGAATCGCGGTCTTCTTTGGGCTTAAGTACACTTTGGACTTCCCTTTATTTGGTTCCCGGTTTAGTTTTTCGAAATGAAGCTCTTTCAGTACAGAAGCAACTCTCTGGTGTCTGCAGTCTCAAAAACATCTGGTAAATACTGTTCAAGACTTAGCCATCGCCCTCTAGTGGAACGTCCGCAGATAACTTGTTGCTGTTCAGGCATTACTAATCAACTTAAGCATACAACATTAAAATAGGCAAGTGCTAGCTTCTCCCCTTATGCCAGCTTATTTTTGCCAACTTCCTTTTGGAAGAAACTAAATTCCGTAGTGCCTTCTTTGACATGTACTAAGGAGGGCCTTTTCATATCTATAATAAACTTTAAGCCTATAAGGTGGGTGTTTCTTCTTTGTAGAGATGACAGGTTACAAAGTCCAATACTGTTGTGCAATAAAATGTCGAGACAAACTTTTCTATAAACCCATGTCTTCAGCATTTGAGTACACCCCAAGACTTTGTAAATTCATTAAATATTTGATTTATACTAGTTATGCTTTGATCTCATGCATTGATTTTGGGGGAGGTGGGGATGAGGGGTGTATAAAAACCTGTCAACTATACAGCACACAGCCTTAACTATAAACCATCTGAACAGATAAAGATGCCTGAAACAGAACTGCTCTCAGATACTAAATTGACCTGATTCTTGATCACCTCATGTACCTACTTCTCTTTTTCTTTTTGGCTCCTTTGTCTTCCAGAAATGCACATTACTATCTTCATTTGAATTTATGTGTGATGCAGGAAAGATGCTGAAGCAGGGTTCCCTAAGAAGGCAATGATTTACAGTGCACTGAAAACATTTTCATCAGTACCATTTTACTTTCATATTTAATTTTCTAAGAATAGACAAGTGTGTTGAAACCAAAATGCTGTTCAATGTGAAACATTCATAAGATTGTGTATCAATACTTCAAAAAAAAGAACAATTACTTGCATAACTGTTACACACTAAAAGCTCTACTTTTATATTTCTAAGTTTTATGAATATCGGTAACCAGATAATTCTCACACGGCTTAAAAAATTCTCACTTAATTTAAGGAAAAATGAAGTGTCAATGCATTTTTTTTATTCCAAAGACTGAGAGCTTCACAGAAGAAAGCTTAGTATCCAGTAGTTATATAACATGTTTACACAGATACTTATACAATAACTATTACCCAGCCACTAAATAAGGATCAAAGGAGGTAACAGTTGTAATTTTTCCTGTCATAATTTTAAAAAGTTAAGACAGAAGGAATAGAGTATGTATGTTTGTAGGTGTCAGCCAAATACAAGCAACTTGACAAGACTAAGTTTATTCTAATTTTTATTAATAAAAAGATTAATCATGACCATATAAGGTAAGTGGCTGGGTTTATAGTTTGCTACACCAATTAAATCAAACTTGATACTTGAGAATATTTTTACAATAAGGTGTAATAGCATTCCATTATAGAGGCATTTTAATTTTAACGGTTTCTCTTATATATAAAAAACTAACCCTTAGTGTCACAGATGAGAATCATCACAGCTACTGCTGAACAAAAAGGAATCTCCAAGATTTGTCCTGGTGGTGTTAGCCCAAGACCTGCCACCCAAAGTTCAGGAAAACAATCTCCTAAAAACATCTGGAAAATTAGAGACAAGAGTATCAGTGTCTGACACCATGGCAGGGGAATATCCCACTTCCAGGTCAAGGGTGAAGATAAATAACACAAACTGCAAACACATTCTAGAACCCCAAGTGGGGAAAAGTGCCATTAATTTCAGAATTACCACATATAATCAATATGTGTAAGTACAAATTCAGATTTGTTACGTCCAAAGATACAGTAATTTTATTACATAAAATTTCTCCTGTGTGCTAAAAATGTTAACTTACAAGACACCGTGTTTGTATAAATGTAGGAGGAATTATGGTTGAATTGTTTACTCATTTTTCGCTGATGAGAACAGAAAAGGTAGTGGCCATGTAAGCCGCACTCAAGTCCTCTGAACCTCAGGGCTCTCGTATTCCCGCCCAACCACAACACACCAACCGTTCTCAACTATAAATGCCTACGCAATTCATCTTTGAAAAATAAAGTCCATTTTTTTCTCCATAAAAGCTTCTGTAAGGTTGACAAAGGTACATTCTACCTACTAAAAATAGCGGTACTCTTCATCTTTGGATAAGGTATCACCACTTAGGGAAACTGCAGCCATATACAGATACTAAACTTTTATTTGAGGCAGCTGTTGGAGTCCTTTAAGCACTTTTTTAACATGTACCTTTAAAGTTTGTCTTTAATATTAATAGCTTTGGAAAACCAAAAATAGAGGAAAAACATCTATGGCAAAGTACATTTCATTCAGCTTTGATAGCAATAAAATACAAAATAAAGTATTTAGTGTCAATTTCTGTAAATTGCTTGTAGATAGTTTTGTGTTTTATGATCGAATGACAAAAAGATTTTAACTTGTTAAAAAAGTTTAAGTCTTTGACTTAGTATTTATACTTAGTTAAGGCAAATATGAAATTAAGCACTGTAAAAAGTCTAAAAATGAAGTTCTACAAATCTGGTTCTCATTTACAACAATTTCATTTAACAGATAATGAGCTGTGTAGATACAATGTATCCAATACCCTTGTAACTACAGTAAAAAAAAAAAAAACCTCTAGTAGCATTTGTAGATTGTGAAATCCTTAGTAATACCAATATATATTCAAAACATGTTCATACAGAACCAATACCTCTCCATCCATGTAAAAAATAATTAACAAAAATACCAACAAAACAATGGAAACTCATTTCATTTCACTGCATCCAAAGGTATGACACAAAATATTGGCTTAAAGAGGTAGATGAAAAAGAAAAAGAAAACCAGATTCTCCATTCTTTGTCACTTTTATTCAGTAGTAGTTTTTTCCCCCTTATTTTCAGTGCCAGACACGGCAAGGAGTGATTACAGCCAACTGTTATGAAAACATTTGTTCGCGACACACCCCCTTTACCACTGACCCCAGACCCACTCACTTTGTGTGCTTTCATTCTTTCTTGTTTAATATACCACCACCAGGACCGGGTGGAGGGGTGAGGGCCAGAGAGATGAGGGGCAGTCCAGGAGGCCAGGAGAGGAGGAATGCTACAAGCCACAGTAAGAATGAGCTGTATTTAATTTAAAAAGGGGAAGGGGTGTACCCCACAAATGATACAGTAATGAGGATACACAATTAAATCCCATAAGCATGACTGAAGGCTTTCACTGTGTTTGATGTCATCACAATGGAAGGCATAAAGAGTGGAGTAAATCAATGTTGACACAGTCCAATCTAGTCCATTAGGCAAGATGGTGCAAGAAGTCATTTAAATTAAAAGTGCCCTACCCTTACCTACATGGCTAGCAGACATGGAGACCACCACAGTGATGAATCCACAGAGATCCCTCCATGTAGCTATAAAAAATGTGTTGTCAAATGGCACATTGTCAAACACTGGAAAGGGGCGCCACAATGGACCGCTCTCTTTTTTAGGTACGAATGCTAGATTCAACTATCTCAACTAAGCAAGAAGTGGGCTCTTCTGCTAGGAATGCCAACCCTAATTCACTTTGTCTTGAAATATATACAGATTGTTTGTAGTAGCTACAGCAATGATGTTCTCCTTAGGGTGCCAGGCTGTATGAAGTATTTTCTTGTTGAAGTCTAGGCTGTCAACACTTATTTCATCCTTCTTTCTCTTGCCACTTGCACAGACTTTGCGGGGCTTCAGAACTGTGCGAGGTTTATTGTTTTCCCGTGATGCTTCTAGGGTTATGTCTCGCTTTGTGTTCCTGTCAAACATTCTGAAGAAATTATTGTAGGATCCGGTCATGACAACACTGTGAACGCAGACAGAGCTCAGTCAAATAAGTGAACAAGAGTTTGTTTTCAGTACAGTGATGCAGTCATGAAACCTAGGTCTAGGCCTCTGCAGGGAACGGCTCCCTCAAGCAGACTGAGATTAAGGCAAGGGCTGCTGACACCAGCCCAGGGACCAATCATCGGAATAAACCAGAAACACGGTATGAGTTAACTTGGTTTTCTATTGACTCCTCCTCATGACTACCAGAACTATCACCAAGTTGAAAGCGATCTCAAGTAAAGCTTCTTGGTAAGTAGTATTGATCTTTGTTAAATATTTTTGCAACTACAGGCTATGCCATCAATTAGGCCATCCAGCTTCTTGAAGTACTAACCAACTGTGGGGACTCAAAGGTTCTACAACAAAAATAAAATGCATGGTATACAGCTATTCATAAGAAACCAAAGTTATTTAATTTGTTCCCAGGTTGTTGTTTTATGAATCACATCTTATGAATACTTGTAAGAAATCTGCTTCTGAGATTATTAAGGAAATAGCATACACAATTTTTATTAACAGATGTCATTTTACCTATAACATTTAAGCACAATTTTTTGACAAACATTTTCAATACTATCTGTTTAAAAGGGGTGCCCATTTTGACCCCTGTGCAAGACACTTTGCCAGTCCTCCTGCCATCCATCACTGCTCAATGTTTACTACATAGCCCTTCACACAACACTGCACAGGCCTGGAACTGTTAACATCTGGGAAGTGGCTGGTGCTGCGATTGACCACAGGCTGTCTACTGGGTTTACATTATTATTGCAAATGAGACTATAATACTAAGGAACTGCGGAAAGTAATGCTTGAAAACAACTCTGAGCATTTACAAATACTACACATCGTACAGGTCACAAATTTGATACAAATGATTACCACCTATTCAGTAATACCAGTTCCCCCACAGGGTACTTGACAACATTTTAATTAAACTCAAGTCGGTGCACTACTTGAAGGTAATGCAATTGTGTTTCTTTTAAAATGCTTTATGTAATTTAGACTGGCATCCCATATTTCCAGATTTGTGAGGTTTTGACAGAACATCTAGCCTGTGGATCTTAGTAATAAAAGGTGGTTTTAGGCCAGCATTTCTGTGGTATTCCTGCCCAAAATTACAACCTGATAATCTAATCACAAGGAGACATTAGACATCCATCAAATTAAGGAACGTTATGTAAAATAACTGGCCTGTGTTTTTCAAAAATGCCAAGGTCATGAAGGCAAGGAAAGAATGAAGAACTGTTTCAGCTTGAAGGTGAAGAAGAAGGCCTGGTAACTAACTATAGCATATATCTCCTGACTGGAGACTGGGCTGGGTTTTTTTTCTGCCAGAAAGGACATGATTGAAAGAATGGATCTGTGGGTCAGATGGCAGCACTGCACCAATGGGCATTTTTCTGCTTTAAATGTCTGCACTGCCATTAGGTAGGAGAGCATCTTTTAGGAAACTTGAAGAATTTAAGGGCAATGGACATCACATTTGGAGTTTACTCCCAATTGGTTCTCAGAGAATAATAGTTTGTGTTTCTCTCTTTGCGTGTTTATACAGACAGCTATAAACACAGAAAACAACTGACACAGCAAACACCAATGGGGAACCTGTTGTGTTATTCTTGAACACCTTGTTTGAAATTATTTTAAAAATTGTTTTAAATGTTAAGGAAAATCACTTCTTTCCGCTACTGAAACATAACTTAAGCTGCTAACAATGTTTAAACAGTGAGAGGAGAGCTGCCTGCAGCAGTGAGTGCGCCCTGCTATCCTGCATCTTCTTCCCCTTCGAATCTGCAGACTCCTCCCACCTTGCTCTTCCCCCCTTCCTCCTTTCCTTCTTGGTTACGTGGGTTTAGCAGTGGCTTTCAAAGGCAAAGCTTGCTTATTCCCAGTCTAGATTTGCTCTAGCCAGCAAATTACTGAGCCTCATGTTATAATCAGATAAAAATAATTTAAAAAGTAAGACAAGATAAACGATCTAATTAATTTCTGTTACCTTCTGTAACATACAACACTGTGAAACCCAAATCGTACGGAGCTTCAGAGATGAAACTACTGTTTCCTGAAGAGCACCTCTAATTACACCTTGAAGGCAACTTTTTCTTTTACTATTTTCTGTTCTAATGGAACATAATAAATTGTGTAACTAATGACAACTAAAAATTGATGGATTATGATTTATTTATCCTCAGAAATTATGATATACTTTTGATGACCCAGTAAAAAGGAACCACACATGGCAAAGTTGCAGATTATAAAAAAGGCCGATCACTCATGGCACCATGGTTAAGACAACACATAATCATTTCCACGCTACAAGTTACAGATGTCAATTTCAAGGAAAATGGGTGCTCAACATTCCAAATGAAGTACATGCTGCCTCAATACTTCTAAAAACAGTTTCACAGTAGATAAACTATCAAATGGAAACTTCAGCACTTTTAACTGCTTGCACGTCCATAATGTGATCCAACTGGTTCACAAGAAGGAAAAATAGAAAAATATATTTAAATCATAATGTATGATATCTAGAATTGTTGTGTATTTTCACATTTACTAGTGAAACACAACGTTTTTAATTTTTATCTGCCAGTGGTGATGTAAAATTACTAAATTTATTTCAAAGAAATCCTGGGGGGAAATGAAGTTAATCTAAAACAAATGAACCCTAAGAAGACTGAAATAGTAAATTTTTTCCCTCTAAAGAAATTCATTTGAATGAGACATTTAAATTAAAATCAATTACCTGTCAGATCCATTCCAACAACACTCGAATTTGTCAAATATGCAATCATTTTCATACAGTGAACAAAGTTTACTTCTGAGGTATTCGTGCACCTGGGGAGAGACATAAACATATATAGTTCACACTTCAAGATCTACCAACTGAAGTTAGAAAAACAATTTAACAAGTCCTTATATTAAAAAAAAAAAGCATAGCCATGTATGCATAACTTTTAAGCTTATTAAAACTCAATTCTCTTAATAACAACAATAGCAGCATGCTATCCTTTTACAGACATATGAGCCCCCCTCTGTGAACACACATTTGCCTATTGTACAAAGAGAAAAATACCCTTCTGAGCACAGCACATGGACTCTTTATAAGCTTGACTGAAGTATTTAAACCAGAAGATATTTGAAAATGGCAGAGACTAATTGATGAAAATTATAACAATATTTGAATATGCTAACAACAATTGGCTTTCAGTCCATTAATTGCTTATAAAAAACACTTAGTATACTGTGCTTTACTACTTCCTTTTAAGTATAATTTTCTGGGCATAAATAACTGAAGCCTATTTCTTATTATGTGCACATGCTATGTACAGCATGACCATGCCCTGGTTTGGAGATAAACTGTACAGTTACTCTAGGTATACATCACTGAAAAATTTGTTATCACACAACATCAAAACTAATGAAAATGCACCTCTTTTTGAAATATGATTCTAAATTTATGTACTAGTATTTCACAAAAGGATAAACCAGAAAGTAAATAAATCTAGTATTTAGAAAGTGTTCTGAGAAATGGTACTTTTAAATATTAATATTTTAAATGACAGGAAAGTTTCAAAAGTTTATTTACTGTGATAAAAAAAGTCTCTCTCACTGTTCTTTATTTAAAAGAGAACCTGAAAAAAACAGAAAAGTAGGTACCTTCTAAATGCTTAGAATTTTCTACTTATGAAACAACCTATAATCCACTTTAAGTGTCCATCCAAGTATGGTAGAATGACTCAGGTCATGTCTATGTGACATTGTGTGACCATTTGTTAACAGAGAGGAATTGCAATTCATGTGGGGTCAGACTCTGAAGTGAGCATGTAAGGCAAAACATTAGTAAGACCGAAAAACCCTTTAACCACATGCAGCTTAGGAGAACGCTTGTATAAATTCAACAGTAGTTGAGTCTGCGTATGTACATTTGGGTAAGACATGCCTACTCTCGATCACTAATTTCATTTAGCAGAGGCAGAAAAACTGCCACCAGTTTTAGGTGAATTCTGATGAGCCAAATTTCAGAATGCACGTACATGGTCTTTCGCGAACAATTTAGCAGCACAAAGTTAAGGTTCAAGTCAAGTATTTTCTAAGGGAATGGGGTGGTGGCAGCGGTGGTAAGGCTCACTAGGAGAAAGATCAGAATCTTGACAGTTACATAAATGAAATCTGAAAAACAAGTCAATAGTACTGTATCCCTTTGCTTTTGTTTCAACATTGCGTTTACTTTGAAATTTTAAATACCATTAAAGAGAATCTTAAGTGGTTTATGTTTGTCAAATAGGATAAAAACATCCTCATTTTATTGAGAACATGCAATATAACGCAGGTCCCATTTGTAAATTTGTATGCCTAGAGCAAGCAGGGTTAGGTGTTCTCTACGCTGTAGCCTAGGGCCTGACTTAAGTTTCTGCCTGCCCCCAACCCTGCTCCCGGCTGTGCGCATCTTCACTCTCTTCTTCCCAAGAAAGGGATAGGAGATGAATGGTAGTAGCTGGCTGACAAGAGAACCCAGAACTAACATCCTACAATGGACACTCGACTCTTAAAAGCTGTCTGCGGAGCTTTTAAGTCCTTCTCCTTAAGCTCAAAACAACAGTTATCAGCCAAAAGACAGAACGCCAGTCCATGTGACTGGGCACACCAAAGCTAAGCTCCAGTTGAACTGCCAGACAGCCGACCGGGACACCTCTACGAGGACCGGCCGTTCCCCTGATCCTCTCCCTGCCCTCACTGAGACCGAGCATGCTGTTCCCTCCTCACTTCCAATGTAGACAGCTGCAGGAAAAAAAGCTGTCCAAATTGAACCAAACTGGTAGGAAAAGCACACTTCAACTGTAAAACTGCAAAGATAGTACAACCTATAAAAGTATATTTAAACTTATCAGAAGGAAAAGCAACAGACTCATAGATCTCTGAAGAAAAAAGCCTAATGGTGAACAAATACTGTATCAGGATTAATACAAAGCATAAAATCCTTCTCTATAAACACTTAAAAGTAAATAGAGTAATACGCTCATTGAAAGAAAAAACTATAAATACCTGGTATGTTTCCACAGGCCTGTTTTCCATATTTAAGTCCCAAATTTTGACTGATAAATAGTCTCTAGTCATCATATACCGACCACTATGGCTGAATTTTACATCAGAAATAGAGGAGATGATTTCAGAAAAGAAAGACCTGTTACTGGGATCTTCAGGTTCTTCAAACACTAAAAACAAGCAAAAAATAAAAGGGCAATTTGTATAATATTGTGGCTTGGACAAAGCCATTTGTTGAAGTAACCATTCACAAACTTCCTAAGAGTAAGCTAAAAATTGACAGGCTAGTCGAGACCTGAAAAACACCTCTCTGGCTCTAACAACACAGTCTCCCTGCAAGTTAAGAGAATGTAATACTGAGGTTGAAGGTGCAAAAGCAGACAGTGCCCTCCCAGAAGCACATGGCTGATGCAGCAGTCCCAGACTTGTCCAGGACTTCTGACTTCAGCACAGCATGTTTGTAATTCTGTATACACCCCACTGCCTGCCTGTACCGGAACCCAGGAGAAACACTCTCCTCACCATCCAAACACGTGCCAGCAGGGTGTATTTTAGTGGCCACATAAATTTATTTTGATAACAGGCATGTACTAATTCTCATGAGTTTGAAAATATTCAGCAACATGAAGAATAATGCAACCTCTTAATTTTTTAAACCAGTGCTTTTCATACTTTGTTTAAACCAAGGAAAATTCTTCTCAAAAGAAATCTTTCTAGTAAGCCCAAAACAGGGAGGCAGGGCAGCGGGTGGGGGTCAGGAAGTGAAGGAAGGAACCGCCTTGCCTGAATACAGGGTTGCAGAGCCAACCCCATGTTCCCAGAGGACAGCACTGCTGTAAAACATGTCCAGGGGGAGGTGAACAGGCCTGCCCCCAGAGAGCTTTTCATGTCCTTCAGCAGAGACTCTATAATGCCCCATGTGGAGGCAGGCAGCTGACCAGAAGGACACAGGAGGTCCTGGGCACTCAGGTTTAACTTATCAACCTATGTAAATGTAGTTAACACATCTCACACTAGTTTCAGAAAACAAGAAACATTTATGTCACTTGAAAAAAAGACGCAATCAACTTACGTTTCGAATGCCTATCGCAGAGGGCAGATGTCCTCATGTCACATAACCGAATAGTTCCTTTACTGCTGCTATACACAAACGTGTTACAGCTGTTTGGGTGGAACTCCGCTGCCGTGATCACCTCTGTCAACTCTTCCATATTGGCAGGCTTGATATCCACAATATCTGGATAGCATTTTATTAAGGAATTTCCACTTAAAAAAAGGGCAAGTGTAAATTTCCATTTCTCAAATCTGGAATTCATTCAGATTTACCAGCATTAATTTTGAATTGCATTCTATTCGTCAGGAGCATAAAGCCCAGAAGGATCCAAACTTTCAATGGTTGAAAAAAAAAATTTTAGGAGAAAAGGAGGGATGAATTTGAAATCATTTGAGAATAAAGCAGTGTTTTTTCTAAGCATGATACAAATCCCAGAAGCCAAAGGAAGACATTGATAAGTTTATCTTCCTAGATATTTCCTAGATATTAAGTCATTATACATTCTAAACAAAACAAAATGAAAGGAAAAACCCTCCAGGGGGGCATAAAAAAGGGAAACTATCTGCACCACAATGTTCAAGTCTATTCAGAATGAAAGAAACGCAAATCAAAACAACCAAAGAGGATCTCTAACAGTCTAGACGAGTTAAGGCACAGGAGACAGGCTCTTTCCTATACTCCTGGTAGAGTATGAGTTACAGTTAAGTGTTAATTTTTCAAATGGTATCTATTTGAAAATAAATACATTAACAGTAGTAGCAACTGCAAACATTTATCAATAACTTTAAAAAATACAAATATATTTATGTACATTTCTCTGTATACTCTGTATGTGCCAGCTATACATACATCACACTTGTATACGCACAGAAATATTTCAGGAGTATAATATTAACAATGAAAATGGGGTTAGGTAAGTATTTCTATTGACTTTATGTCATCATGTATCATGACCTGTACCTTTCTGCAACCTTAATGAGAATGTTTTTATGATACTACACGTCTTTAAGAAAACTCATTTAAAAAATTAAATTTTTCATAGAATTCTTTAAGAGTCCAAGAATCCAAACTTTAAATCAAAAACATTATAGCCTTTGTCAAATAATATCCCCAAGGGTTTTATCACTTACTCACAAAAAGTGGTACAAAATAAGGTGACATTATAAAGAGAAGAAATCAAAATACACTAAGGAGAAATGAAAATAAGTGGATACTAAAACTCCTGTCTGTAATTTCCAGATGCCAAAGATTAATCCGCAAATCATCTGCTGATAAGTATGTTTCATAATCACTATTAATAGAAATTGAGTTGATATGGTATGTATGAGCATTGGCAAATATTCTTCGTGGACTGGCCTCAACCATTAGATCCATGGGCCTAAAGACTGGCACCTGTCAATAAGATACATGAAAAGCAGTCATTACAAAATGGTCATTGTTTATACTGGCATTATTAAGGCTCAGAACACTTCACTACTCCACTTTTCGAGAGGGCATCAACCAGTATGTTTAGATTTAGTTTTTACTATGTTTTAGTACATTCAGATTTAGTTTTCACCAAGCAACTGATGTCAAACCTTTCAAGTACTGAAGTGTGAAGACATGAACAACCTGGACAATTAATTTACTTTCTTGCACAGAGAGCAATGCTATTAGAATGTGCAGCTCTTCCTAGTTCCCATCTTTTATGGAGACATTTGCAAAGCAAATAATGTTCATGGATTTAAATTAAAGTGGCTAAAAGGAAATTAGCCCAAACATCCAATTCTTGGAATTCAAATTTTTAGCTGTATCTAAGGATAATTACTCCTGTTCAAGTTCTGCTCAGTACTAGAACATGTAGTATGAATACAGAACACTACTCATCTGAATTAGGTTCATTTTTCTTAAGGACTTACTCGTAGTGTAGTAACTGTAGTAGGATCTCTATACCTTCCATCTTCTTCTTTCAAGTTATACCCTTCTGGCCTTTTGTCCCTTTCACTGATTTTCCATAACTTTATTGTTTTATCTGAGGAGAAAATGAAGTCCTCAAAAAAAGAGTAATGCTGATAGAAGAAAGATATTTTAAGATATAGTTAAACATGCCATTTCATATTTCATCTAAAAGGATCCTAAGAATAAAATCCCTTATTTTATTAGTGAGACCAATGAAGCCCAGTTTTTCTGATGTTAACGTCTTATGCAATGACGGTACACTGTTAAAACTGAGAAGTTGACATTGTATGCTACTAATGAAGTCTCACTAGTGAGAAACAAGTTTCCTTCAGGTGAATAAACACATATACATACAGAAGTACAGTACAGAAATAGCACATGTATTCACTAATAAATGGTACTTACATAATTATACTTGATATTAAAATCAAGTCACAGGGAGGTCCTTATCCTTTAAAAATAAAGCTAGAGGGGGGAAAACTGTATACAAACACCCCCCCCACATATATATATGCTTAATATTTAACTTTTAGAAGAAAACAAGCAACTGTGTTAAGAGAGCCTGAATCTTATTTAGACTAAAAATGATAAGATGTGTCTATCTCCCTTGGTCCTGTATTTCCTAGAACAGCCTATCAAAGACTCCATGAATTCCTTCACAGGTTTGGATGCCTCTATTTAAATTTATTCTTTTCCCTGTTGTATCAAGGATTCAATTCAAGTAGGTAGCAACAGGGCCTTAAAAAAAACCCCAACAAATTAAAAGCATATGTCTCCAAGTTCTTCAAGACCAAAGTCTTTGGTATCAAGAATATATAAAATAGTATTTTTTGAAATTTGCTTTTATTCTGGAGTAAGTTCAGAGTTAAGAGAAGTTGCAAAGACAGCACAGAGCATTTCCATACACTCTTCGCCCAGTTTTTCTGATGTCAACATCTTATGCAATGGTGGTACACTGTTAAAACTGAGAAGTTAACATTGTATACTACTATTAACCAAATGCCAGACTACTCAGATTTCCCCAGGTTTTCTATTAATACCCCCTTTCTGTTTCAGGGTCTAAATAACACTGCATCTAGCTGTCAAAGTCTCCTTTGTCTGTCTGACTTTACAGGTGTTCAGACTTTCCTTCTTTCGTCATCCGTGCAGTTCTGAGAAGCAGTGGTGAGGTACTGTATAGAGCCTATGCCAACTGGATATGTCTGCTGTTTCCTCCTGGCCAGTCAGGGGTCACATACATCTGTAGGAGGGATAGGAGGGGTCGCAGAGGTGAAGGAAGGGCGTATGTGGCACCACCATGTCCTTTCCACTGGTGATGCAAGCTTGGATCACAGTTAAGTAACTGCTAGGTTCTCCACTGCCTAGTTACTGTTTCCCCCTTTGCCAGACTCTGTTCTTTGGAACTGAGTCACTTAAGTCTAGTCCCCACATAAAGGGAGACTGGAGTCCCTGTAGTGAGGAGTATCCATCACGTATTACTGGGAATTCTCCTGTAAGCAGCGACTCTTCTCCCCAAGTAATTTATCAATCATTTATTTATATCACTATGGACTCATGCGTGTTCATTTAATATTCTGTGTTATAATCTTAAAATTGCATTTCTATGAAAGTATCACATTCTCAATGGTCCTTTCACAAGAAAACGGGTATAGTATATAAAGTTACACAGTCAACTTGTCACCTAGAGAGGCAGATGGGACTCCTCTGGCCTGACCACGTCTTAGCCCAGTGGAGACAGGACATGACAGCTGTTCCTGTGGATGCCCTTTGCAAAGGTGTAACTCCGGGGGAAAGTCCTGGGGCAAAATACCTTTGAAACCGAAATCAGTCAAAGGGAGGAATAAAGTGGGAGAAACCTGTTTATTGCTTACAAACAGTCGCCTACTTCTGCTCACCCATGTCTCTCACCACGCGGCTGCAGAAGAAAAAAAAGGGCCCCACTCAACCTCTCTAGTCCAGATAGGCTCTCACATCCCCCTGGTAATTACCTATTAGTATGGAGATGTACTCTCCACCCACTTGGAAACACCGATTGATATGGCGATTATGGAAATGTTGCAATTTTACACATGAAAGGTAAGTGTGAACAGAGAAAAACTACTAATTTTGCTAATTTGTAATCCCGTATTTATCCAAGCCCTATGTAATCTTACTTTATAGCTACCTTGCAGTTCAGTTACATGTTTTCTATGTGCTATTTAGTTTTATACATTCATATAACTTAGGCAAATTATGTATTTTAGAGTATTTTACGGGTTCCAAAATCTGTAAGACGAAGGAGTCTAGCCCAAATGCGGGAGAAATTATCATGTAAAAGTAAGGATGGAAAGCCCCTCTGCCACCGCAACTAACTGTTTTATGGCCAAATTCATCATTCTCAGTAAAGATCCAGATAAAGAAATCACAATATACTTCGTTAACTTTTCAAATGAGATGTAATTAGTTTCTGCTTCCTGAAAGTGTTAAAGGAAAAAAATTAGAGAAGAAAAAGAAACATTGGGTAAATTGGTTTTTAAAACAAACTAAACTTTAAAACAATAATTTTAAAGTGATAAAATTGTGACTTACAAGGTCAAAAAAATTTTTTTCGTGGCATAACAAGATACAGTAGTACTACATAATTCCTTGAGAACAAATGTTCCCACCCAAATGTTAGTGCTTGGGAAAAGGCAGGCCAGAAGTATTTTTGTAAATATGACAAATTATTTTAAAAACTCAAAACTCTTAGGCTCTCTATTGGTTACTTTTTTATCTGGAGCTTTTGGCCCATGGATGGAGGTGCCTGAGAAAAAAACTGCATGCAAAGTTATGTAAATATACATACTTTTCTGGGAAGGCGATTATGATATTCCTCAAAGAGCTGTCAGTTCCAAAAGGTTAAGAACCACACTCAATGGTGTTTCCCTACATTAACACTAATAACTACAGAAGTGCTCCAGAAGTCCAACAATCCTAGAGCTCGTGTAATCACAGTACAGGACTGGGACACGGAAAAACCATGCTACCAAGTATCCTGTGTGGGAATGCAGCTTTATGTAAGACCCTAACAGCTTCATTATTAACAAGCTGTTAAAAAACACAACCTATTTACCAATGAACTTTGTATTAGGTATGTATTTAAGACCCATGTTCAACAGCAATGGAGTTGGACTTTTTGTAAGGTAGAATAACTCAGAGAAAGACAACAGATTATAAAAAGAAAGAATAAAATCACTTGAAGAAACATCAAATAAACTAAAGTTCTAAGAAGGTGACTATTATAAAGTTATTTAAGTACAAATGGTTTTGGAAGCACTGAAGACATTGATGATGATCACAGACAGCCAATGCAAAGAGGAAAGATTAATCTTGGTTGACCAAAACCAAACCATTTGGTCCTATTTTCCACCATTCTCCCACAGTGGTTTCCAAGCTTTTTTATGAGCATAAAGTCCCATTACACTAGGGGTGGGGACAGGTATTTTTAGAGAAAACTATACCAAATAATACAGAGATAGTAGTCATATTTTAGTATGTTGACATTTTCCCATAATTGCTTTCTCTCCCAGTCTTCCCAGCCCTTTTCCTACCCCACCATACCCAGACCTGGCAGTTTGTAAAATTCCTTCATCTGTTCTATCCTTCCACATTGGACTCTATTTTAGCACAAAGGAATAATGAAGCCCTCACTTAACTCTATCTTATTTAATATTCACTAATAACAAAAAGACAAAAACCTACAATGTACTGTGTATTGCCCTATAAAATAATTTGTTTTATTAATCATTGATTTTTCAAATCTACACAGTAAACCTATTTGGGAGGTACTGCTGATTCTGACTATAGTAAAAGACTACGCAGATTAGCACCCTTCTGACCAACCACCGGAATTCCCAGTTGTATCTCCCGCCACTGAGCCTTTGTAGAGTTTATTGTCTAGAAAGGCTCCTCTGGTTACAGGCGGTCTTGCTTATTTCAAATCATGCAACACATGGACACTTGCATGGAAGATACATGTACGTATAAACTGAGAACTGAAAGATATTTAAGATTTCATCTATAAATGAATCAAAATGGGATTTGCTTCTGAATAATACTGAGAAAGAAAGGTACAAGTACCTGGGGAAACAGAACTGGCCATGAACTGTAGCTGTTAAAGCTGGGTGACAGCTACGTAGGGATTCATATCTACTCTACTCCAGCCTGTATTTTTAAAACTCCCCCTTATATAAAGTTAATGATTTAGCTTACAAGAAGTGAAATGTCAAAGTTATTAAGAACAGATATTCCAACACATGAAATATATAACAATACACTTCCTTATGGTATTTTCTTCCAAAAGTAGAAACTATTTAAATGGTATAATTATAAGTGTGAATTTTGAAATAACTTAGTTTACTGTATAAACTAAAACTGAACCTTTTTGGATGAGAAGCCAAAAAGGGAAATACAGTTCTTCCATCTACGATGCTATTAAGTTATAAGCTTTATTATTTCTATTTTTCTTTTAATAAGGAAAAGAGAGGGGAATGTACTTTATGTGAAGAAAGATGGGAGGGTACAAATGTCAATGGGCTGACTGGTGAGAGCTTTGATGATCAGAGAAATGGGTATCTAAGAGGAAGCAAGCATGTGTGGCTGTCAGCTAGCGGTATCACTGTGGAATACATTTTCAAGAACTCCATACAGTGGATGAGGAGGCCTAAAGGGCACTCAGTATTTGCCATCGTGTCACCCCAGAAGTCACTTTAGTTTACACTCTGCAAATGGTAAAGAATGGTAAGGTCTAGGTGCTAAAATTGCTTTTATTAATAGTGCCTTATGCCAGTCTCAAAAAAGTTTTTCTCTAAATCGTTGCAGACCATGGCCACCCAGAGCCTAAAGAAGGCTCTCTATCACTCTAATGACTCTCTTCAAACTCAAGCCCCTAAGGATAGACTGAGTCATGACAGCTCATAAAAAAATTTTTAGAATGACCAAAAAAGAAATGAACCAATTCTTAAAACTTGTCATTAAGAACCTTAACTTCTGGCAGAATCATTACACAATTCTAATCCTACTTAGTAACTTTTCCTGAGCCAAAAAAACAGTATAAGGAGAATCTCCTTCCAGCCCTGAGTCGTGCTGGGAAGAGGTGCAATATATCAATTCTTTTGTGTCCTTACGTGGTGAGGATCAGGTAAGAGTGCTCCCCTAGAGCTTCCTGGATTAGAGACCACCAGTTGACGGAGTAATTTGTATGTATAGTTTCAAATACTCTTTGGAGAGTTTAGGCTTGCTTGAAAAGGAGGAAGAAAGGAAATCAACATTTATTGACGTTCACTATGTACACTAGGAGTTATCACACTTACCACTCACAGTAATACTAGATAATCCTACTTCCAGTTTTGCCTCTTGCAGATGAGAAAAATTTAACTCAGTTTTAGTAACCTGCCCAGGGCTAAAAAGTCAAGAGGTGGCAGAAATAGGAACTGACCTAAAGTAAACCCAACAGTTCTGGAAAGCCCTTTCTTCCTTTCCACTAGAAACTGTGTGTGTATGGAAAGAAAACTGATACCTGAGGATGTTCTTCGAAGAATATGAGAACTTTTAAAAAATAAAACAGGGGAGACAAAAAAGAAAGTTGACATTCTGTATGGGAAAGAAATATTTCCAAATGTCTGTCTGTGGAGAGCTCTTAACAACTATTGCTCTTTGAAAAGGGGAAAGTCTCCTACGGGATATGTATACACAGTGGCAGATGAAAGGAAAAGATCTACACTTACCATTCGTAGACAATAAAAACTGAGCAGCATTTTTCTGGGGTAACCACCTGATTTTGTTGATTTTTTCTTCTATTTCTAAACTTTTCAAGTAGTCAAACTCTGGTTCATGGCTCTGAAAGGTGCTGTAAACATTATATTCTCCTCTGCTATGAGACTGGATTTTGTTCTAAAATGGAAACAAAAATATTTGGACCACTGTTGAGAAATATTTCAAAATAATCAAACATGTAATCTTTCCAACATACCTCACAAATTCTGGTTAATACATTACTTGCATCTTATATACAATTGTATTCTGTTTTATATTTAAATGCTTTCAAGGAATTAAAAAGAAAAGTTAAATAAAGCCTAATAGTTAAGCCCAATTCAATAGGAAAAGTTACATTAAAATATGGAACATTCTGATTACTAATTTACCATTATATATGAAATAGTAAGATAGCAGACTACTGGTAATACTGAGCATCCATAATAAGGGCTCTCATCTAAAAAGTAAAAGATTAAATAAGAAAAGTTTGTCAGAAACAGCTGGCTAAGGTACACACTTTTTCTCTACCCACTTTGGGATGTTATTTAGCATGTACTGTCCTCATCCTTCCCCCTTCTCATGCCTGCCTTTTGGCCATTTCACTAATGAAAAACTCTTTAAGAGCTGAGCCTTCATAAATGTAATGGCACCATCTGACCTAGACCCCTAGCCCCAGGCCCCGCCAACCACAGTTGGAAGCTCTGTTACTCATGAAGCCCACGTTTATTTTAGCATTACGCAGCAGACCTCCCCACAGCCCCTCAACAGCTGCTTCCCCTTCTTAAATTAGCCTCCTTATAGTATGAGCCTAGCACACATCAATGATTTGTTTCATTTTGGTATCAGTGGATGTGAATACAGCTTATGCTACTGGCTGAAGAGACTACCTGTGAACTCCTTCAGTTAGCACTACTGCCTTAGCAAAGCTGAGAGTCATAACCATGGTCAGAATTTCGTCTCTTATTATCACATGGTAAAAAATCTTTCCATCAAAACATTACAAGTTTAGTTTACAGAAGAACCTTTGGAAAAACAGTTCAAAGTAAATATATTATTGATAGTTATTTTCAGTAAAAGTAAATTACCAAATGAAATGTTTAGCATTACTTGATAGTAAGAATAGTCCATTAGTTATTACTATTGTCCATATAAAAAGAAAACCTTACTGACTCATCAGCTTGAAAGCTTATGTTCTGGGTGGTTTTTTTCCAGGAGCCTATGTATCTGATTGATCGTGGGTAGGTAAATCTGACCCTCTGGTAACAGTATCAATGATTATTGAGTGGGTTTGCCAATATTAAGAATGGAACATACCCACACTGGGGGCATGGAAGGGGTAAAAATCAAATTCTCACTTGTTTTATTACCAAACTCTTACACTCTTACACCAAATGAGATAACCCAACCAGTAAATATGTACACACTAATACCTCTTTAGAAGAAATTCCACAACTCTTCCACCTAAGATTACTCACTCAGTCTCAAGAGTTGTCATGTTACTCTCCGAGGAAACTACAATGAACAGCAACAAATGACACTGTTATGTGCATCAGGTCCTAGAGGCAGAGAGACTTAATAAACAGAATTTCTACCTTCAAGTAACTTGTGTATGTGAACCTTTGATCCAAAGTATAAATTAAGGTTCATATAACTAAGATAAACAATATAAAGAGTAAAGGGCAAGCACACACCATTCTATATGGGTGGCCATGCTTTATATAAGAAAAGCACAAACATGAAAAATGAGAATATTTTTTATAAGAGAAAAGATCATCCTAAATAATCAAGAATAACTATATGGATCTAAATGATCTACTACTGAATCAAAAAACAGTCATAAAAGTGTCTGTAACAAGAAAAAAAAATGTATCACAAGGAGAAAGAAAGGTATGTTTTAAAAAACAGATGCCAGGCTGGGTTCAGGTCTTAGTGTACTCTCTCCTGAAACCCCATCAAAATTACAGTGAAAGAATTTTTAAAGACAAATCAACAAGCACAAAGAATAACAGCAGAGATGACAGCAGCAGTAACAAATGGAAGAGGCCATTAAACAGATGCACGGGGGTAGGTGACTGACAGAGTGGACTGCAGAGAGCCGGACCATTAGCCCGCAGTGGCATCTTCCTGAAAACTTGGGAGGGATCATAACCATCAAAAGCACAGCTCTCCACAGTAACTGAGTACAGTGAGCGAAGATAAAGGAAAGGGGACAGAATCCACGTCCTCAACACTGTGCCGCTCAGAAAGAATGCATACAGTCAAAGAAGGGTTTTTTTGTTTTAAAACTCTTATAGAGAATTGTGATACATTACAGAATGCCTCGTATTTGGGTTTTTCTTGCACAGCTTTTGGCACCTACTTCTGTTTTTCTTAGCTTGCTGTGCTCATTAGGAGAGAATCTATTTTCTTAACCATACAATATTATTTATGTGAAATCTTCTAAAATAAATTTAGAAGTACTTTATCCGAATACCTGTAATAGGGCCTGGCATATTAACAGGCACTCTTCTAAATGAACAAAAATAGAGGCAAAAAGAATGAGTAGGAGGTATGATAAAGGGCATCTAGACTTGACCCAGCAAACGGAGAGCACGGTGCAGAAATGGAAGGAACGGGCTGGATGCACAAACAGCGAAACAGAAGGACACTGAAAACAGCTCTCGGGAAAAAAAGCAGGACAAAAATGAAATGTGATATAGTATTCTTCACATACATTAAAAACAAAGTACACAAAAACAAAGTTACACATTTCAACACAGACACAGCATAATCCATAAACATATAAAGAGGATACTGTATCATGACCAAGTTTTAAAGCAAAGTATGAAGACAGTGTGGTACTCACACCAGGACTGACAAATATACCAATGGACTAGAACAGATGTCCCAGAACACAGGTCTGAATTAAGATAAAGGTGGCATTGCTGAGCCAGGATGGTCTTTTCCCTAAATGGTTTTTGGCCAACTGACTATTCATATATAATCAAACGAACCTTGACCCCACTTGATCTCAAACCACTCATGGAGTTGATTCCAGGTATTATCAGACATAAAAAGTGGATGTTCAATTAGGCTTGAGTACAACACTGTCCAAGAGACCTTTCTGCAATGATGGATATACTCTGTATCTGCGCTGTCCAGTATGACCACCACTAGCCACATGTGGTTCCTGAGTGCCAGAAATGTGGCTGTGTGACTAAAGAAGTGAACTTTAAATTTTATTTAATTTTAATTAAAATTTAAATAGCTAGAGAAATAGTGACTACAGTAGTATACAACACAGATATAGAAGATAATGAGGTAGAAAAGCATTTCTTAAGCAGGACAGAAAAGGCAGTTAGCTTAAGGAAAATACTGATAAACTGGACTGTACTAACATTAATAACCTCTATTTGTTAAAATACACCACTGAAAAAAATAGTAAGTCACAGAATGGAACTTACTTCCAACAACTATAACTGACAAAGGGTTCAAACAGTGTAAAAAAGGCTACAAATAAGAAAAATGACCGGGACAACCCAGCAGGAAACATGTACAAGACCCTCTAGTGTCACTCGCAGCAGATGATACCCAAATGGTCAATGAACACATAAAAAGAGGCTCAATTTCAGTGTTAAGAAAAACAATACAATACAGTCATAACCTCCAAAACCTCCATAACTGAAAATACAAAGCAATGGCAAAAATATAGAACAGTTAGAACTTTCACATATTATTCATGAGAATAAAATTGGCAAAATCACTTTTTACTGTACAGGCTACTAAAACTAAATGTCTAACCCATGACATAACAATATCACGCATGACTACATGCACAAAAAAACATGATCAAGAATGTTCACGGCAGCTTAACAGCCACCGATTTAAACAACCAAAACACATGTATCTACAACATAAATGATAAATTGTGGTACAGTAATACAAAACATATATACCAATGAAAGTGAGCAAATTTTATCTATATAAACATAACATTGAGCACAGAGGCCATGATTCCATTTATAAAGGTTCTGAACTATATAGGCTATACCAAGTATTAGAAAACAGCCTTATACGAGGCTTTTAAGGGGAGAAATCAGTGAGTGGGAAGTTCTATGTCTTGACCAAGATGTTTGCTGTGTGATAATCTACTAATGTTCTGTGAACTTTTCTGTGTTATTTCAATAAAGTTTAAAAAAAAACAGCACATTAGTGGTGCAGCCACTTTGAAAGAGTACGGAGTTTCTTCAAAAAAAAATTAAAACTAGAACTACTATGATTTAGCAATCCCACTTCCAGGTATAGTTCTGAAAGATATTATTCATAATAGACAAGTGGTAGAAGCAACCTAAATGTCCACTGACAGATAAATAAATAAAATGTGGTGTGTATAACATAAAACAACATTATTGAGCCTTAAAAAGAAAGAACTCCTGGACTCTCTTGTCCCCTCCTGGCATGAGCCGGGAGCTGTGTCCTTTCACTGTATCTCTAAATAAAAGCCTGTACCTTGCTCTCCAAAAAAAGAACTCCTATCACATGCTACAACATGGATACACCTTGATGACATCATGGTAAGTGAAATAAGCCAGTGGTCAAAGAGCAAATTCTGCATGATTCCACTTATAAGGAATATCTCTCAAGTAATCAACCTCACAGAAATGAAAAACAGAATCGGGCTTACCAGGGACTGGGGGGTGGGGTGAGGGAGGAGGTAGGAAGTTGTTCAGTGGGTATAGTTTCAGTCACGCAGGACTTGGGGGTTCTGGGATCTGTTGTATAGCAATGTGTATGTGATTAGCAATGTTGAACTGTCCACTTGGAAATTGTTGGGAGGTTAATTATGAGAGATATTTTACCACAATTAAATAAAAAGACAGGATTCAAAAACAAAATACGTATTACAAGAAGACTTTCAAATGGTTATCCATGTAGGGAGAGGTGGCTGGGAGCACTGTATCTGAGTGAAAGGTATTAGCTCAGGGAGAGGTCCTTGCCCTTACCTGTAATGGTGATGTCATGAACTTAAGTAAGCCCTGAGGTTCAAACAAATCAAAACAAAACATAAAACAAGAGTAATATCCAATGATGTTGGAACGAACCAACCAGCCATTTGGAAACAGAACTGGAACTTCATTTTCTTACACACAAGTGAATTT